CACACACACAGTCATGCACCCTCCTCTCCCGTTCAGCCTTTCTTTTTTCCTCCCCTGCCCTCCTTCCTTCTCCTCATCACTGAAGGTGTCAGGACTCTAACGCTGCAGTGCCATCTGGGCCGAGGCTGATAAAAGCTCATGTGCCGGTCCGGCGATGCCTGCAGGTCTGCCAGAAGCCAGCGAAGCCTGACTTTCAGAGGCGATGGGAGAGATTTGTGGCAGAAAGGAAGGAATGGCAAGCCGTGAACGTGCTGATCCAGCGCCCCCCACCCCCACTTGCCCTCCTCCCCCCCCATTCCTCTGCACCACCTCTGTCTATCTGTCAGTCAGTCACATGGCCCTGCACTGGCCTGAATCCTTACTTAGGAAAAGGCTCCTTTTTTGTTCAAGGAAAACCAACATGAGACAGGATGGCTTTTTGATCTCTCTTGTGGCTATTGGGAATTCTGTTTGGGTGACCTCTCTTTTGTGCCATATTATCCCAAACAGAGTGAGTTAGAATATGAATCTTCCACCATACTGTTAATTTTAGATAAGACCATGCTGTCGCTTTTTAGCACTTTTAAAACCAGACTTCCTTGCTGTCTGGACTGCTAACCTGCAAACTCCATTTCTATAAAAACACTGACAGATGTAGCTGCTTGTTTTGAAAATGTACTTGCTAGCTAGGTAGATTTTAAAGTTTTTAGCCGCTACATAGATATTTACAAGTAATATCATCATGCTAGACAGCATAGGGATGCAGCAGTGAAACATCTGAATTGGCCATATCATTGCTGTTACTGGTTTATCAGTAAATAAGAGGGCATGTACGGGAAGCACACCTACTCTGTTTTGTTCTCTGTCAACATGATGACTTGCACAACAAGCTAATGTTGTTGCAGTGACTCAATGATAGCTTAACATCAATGCAAATGAGTAGGAAACGGGAATGATAAGACTGAAATGTCTTTTTCAGTTTGCAGCTTGTTAACCAGGGAAGATGCCGTGCTTTATGCCCTTTTTACAGTGCAGATTTCTAAAGGGTGGGTATGTAAAGATTAAAACTTTGTTGTAAAATAGTTTCTGTAGTGACTAGTCTTCCTTGATTTCGTCTGTAGGAGCCTTGTAGGCTCTGTGGATGTGCATGTGTCCTTTGTGATTGGTTTTCTTTGCTGGCAAATTGCCACAGAGGAACTCTATTATTTAGTCCCGTCATTTGTCATCTTTCAGGGCAAATAGGATTTATTTTTCTATTCTTTTTTTGCTTTTTTAATTGATAATCATTGGGCGATTAAAGGAAACCATGCAGGGCACTCTTTTGCTTTGTCAGATCAAAGCAGAGATGTGCATGTTCGACCGTTTTTTCTTAATAATGATAAAATGCCTCCTACGGATCGAAAGGTGAGAAAGGACATGCTGTTGATATTAAGGGTTACTATTAAGCTTATTGATTGAGGAATCAATGTAGTCAATGGAACGTATGACAACCGCAATAATGTGAGCATTTGTCTGTATTTGTTCAACAGGCCTGGACCTGAGACACGCCCAGGTGGTGGCGTTATCTACTGGCACCAAGTGCATCAACGGAGAGTATCTGAGTGATCAGGGACAAGTAGTCAATGACTGTCACGCTGAAGTCACAGCCCGACGAGCCTTGCTACGCTTCCTCTACTCCCAACTTGAACTCTTCGTGAGGTAAAAGCTTTATCTTCTGCTGTATCTTTAAAGCACACAGACATTTCCTGAGCACCGCATGTGCACATGCTACAGCTTTGAAATCTTTCAGCACCTGACACGGCCAGATAACACTTGCTGTCACTAGTTAGTTGGTTAACTTTAGCTTTTTTGCTGATCATTACACCGACTTAGAAAAAACTTCTGTTTCATCTTGAAAGTTGAATTTTTACCTTTGTAGGAGTTTGACCCACTGATTGCTGAATGTAAAATGACAATCAGCCTGTGAAATCATCTCTCTAGATCCAGGTGATTAAACCGAACGGTTCGAGCGAGACTTGAATTATTCAAAGTTTCATCATAAATCAAAGTCGATGTTAGTGTGCTTTTAAATGCAGCTGCAGAGCTGAGTTCATGGAGGCTGCAGCGCATTTAACACAGTGGTGCAATAAGTACACTTTAACTATTTGGATGAACATAAAAAAATCATGGAAAGAATTTCCACGTGATTAAATTGCTTTATTTTAGCATTATGTAATTCCGATATTCCAACTTAACTGAGTTGGATCAGCTGAATTAATTAATGATGAATAAATGTATTTAATGCAGTGGAGTCCAACTTAATTTAATTTAATTGATTCAACCCATGCAAAATACATTAGTCCAACAAAGGTATTTGATGCAATAAATCCAATTTAATGGATTTGGGACACAGCTCTCACTCCATCCACCCTTTTCCACTTGTCCTTATCAGGGTCGCGGGGGTGCAGGAGGTGGGGCACAACCTGGACTGGTCACCAGTCTATTGCAGGGAGAAAGTATATAGTACAACTATTAACACTCACATCTATGGGCAATTTAGAATCATTAACCTAACCTCACTAACTGCATGTACCCAGAGAGACACGAATACAGGGATAACATGCAAACTCCACCCAGAAGGCCGTGGCCAGTTTGTGGATTTGAACTCAGGACTAGGTGGTGCTAACCACCACACCACCAAGCTGTCACTCCATACGTAAAAAACAGTAGGAAAGCTATGATTACAGGGTTTTATACAGAATTTTCTTCATGTTTTGGTCCAATAAAGAGCAATAGCATGCACCTGGTGTGTGTATGCTTGATTCTCCTGTGGTTTGAAATGTCACATGATCTCACGAGTCCAGGCACCTAACAACTCCTACTAGATTGCATCACATGATCTCACTAGAATAAATTTAACTAGTGTTAAGATGTTAAATGTCATGCAGAGTGTACATAATTTAATTACATTCACCATAGAAACATAAAAGTATTTTGAAAGCAGAATAAATGTAAATGTAGCAACTGTCCAATTTCACTTTCTTGAGTGTACTCGAGTGAAAAGTAGAAATGCAAAAAAGACAAACAAGTGTTCAAAATTCCTGCTTCTGAGACTCCTGGTTACACAATTTCACCGAATGGGAAACTTTGAGTCAAGAACCACAGTAACTATTTCACAACTTCTTTTCCACACCTAGTTTCACAGTTATTGAAACCTCCTTGGAACTCAACACCCAGAGCTTTACAAGTGTTTTTACATCTTTGCCCCAGTTTATGCCTTGATAACTTTATACTGGGCATTTACAGAGGTTTTTTTTTAAGTTTCAGGACTTTTTATTTTTCCTGCCATGCAGTCTGAATGCAGGAACAGCATATATAAGGGTTTCTAAAATGTATCCAAGCCTTTCGAGACTCATCTAGAGGATAATATTGAGTGGCACAAAAAAGGGTCTGAATGTCTAAAATCACTTTGTAATTGTGGGATTTTAGACAAAGACTGATTTACAGGTTTTATCCATTTAAAACTGCATCTACAACAAACCAAAATAAAGCAAAGCCTGAATTCTTTATGAAGAATTTATATGCTTCATCGAGTATAAAGTAGTAGCAACGTCTCTGCAAAGTGCACGAGGAAATATCTTACATTCTCGCAGTGACTTCACTTTAATCGCTAATTTAAACTCTTGCCAGCATGCTGCGTAGGCTTCACAAACTTTTCCAAGGCTCCTCTAACAGCTATAACAATGCATTACATTGCATTACTCATTACAGTATGCTTAACAGCATTACATGTTTTTGTTATGACCTCCCCCTGCAGTGCCAAAGCATGCTCTCTCCTCTGCAATAAGCTCCATGGAAACAGCACCGCTTTGTTCGCAAGAGACTTTTCAATAATCAACGAGCCATATGTGCGCTGTTCTCTTCAGCTAACTAAGCATACTATCACACACTCAACCGGTTCAGCTCCGTGTCTCAGTGGCCTGTTTGTTTTTAGTGCTGTTTTATCTACTTTGTGGGCATTTGCTACCTGTACAGCGCGCGCTGGTGCACACAAACTCACCAAGCTTTTCACCAGTATCACGAGACAGCCCTGACGAGTTTTGACTCCTAACTGCCTCCAGTGCATGAGCATATATTATGTTTTTGTGCTCCCCGAGGAGCTCGATTGCAAGGCTGATGTATCAGATTAGTGGATAGAAGTCTAGATGGCTGAATGTCATATTTGCATACACAGCACTGACTTTTTGTCTTAGCACAATGCTGGATGGCAGGTAGGGAGACTTTGCAGCTGAGCAAAATGGCTAATGGGGAAGATAACTCATAATGAAACGACCAAACAAAATGCCAGAACTGCCATATTTACACTCAGTGAAGGGACATCAGAAACAGAGGAGAGGTTATATAAAGAGTGCGGTCGTGCTTTGCATTATGAGGGATAGTTTTTATATAGTACTGTATGTGAGTGATGACATCTTTATTCCTACACACAAGAAAAAAAATAGATGATTATTTCCTGTTTATAAGCATTTACCTGACTAACAGAAGGTTTTTATAAACGTAAACTGTCCTAAAACAATATTGGAACCTGCTGTTTTATCACTAATCTGTTTTCATTTAGAAAATGCTGCCATCTTTTCTTATGGATCAGGTATTTTTACTTTAAGGTGTCACGGATAAACACAACAAAATAAAATGATACCACCAAGACAAAAATGTGGTATTTTGCAAATATAATAATAAACGTGAATTCAGTGTGTAATTGTGTAACTTTATTAGCAGCGTCCTCCTGAAATGCACCAAAAACATTGAGAGGAACATCCTCTTCTCTGCCCCTTAATGCTCTCTGGTCGCTATGGTAACGTGTAAATATTTCTTTGGAAATACAGTCATGTGAGAAAATTAGGACACCCTATGAAAGCCTGTAAATTTTAAAATACATTTGGACATATAGATATTTAATATACATTTTAATGATACTGAGGCATCCAAATAATATAACTCAACAATTAAAAAATAAGAAAAGCCTTTTTAAAACTTTATGTGAAATGTAATTTAAAAAGAATGCGATTTCTGGTGAGGAATAAATTAGGACACTCCCACATGTTATCGCACTTAAAATGGTTAAAATCACACACAGGTGTATCACGTCAGGTGCACATGATCAGTACATTGTTACCCAGCATTTTAAGGGAACCTTGCCCTATTTAAACCTCAGATTTAGTTTAGTGTGCTCCTGACTGTTGTTTTTGTTTTGTTTTGTTTTTTGTCTGTCCCGTTTGGTTCTTTTGCCATCAGAATTATTGTCTAAAGGCAAAGAAAGATGCCCAACGGATTTACTTTACCAAATTGACCATCCCAGCCTTGCCGTAATGGTCTATTTGATTCACCTTTTATTGTTTATTTTATATTTTTATTTTCACTTGCTAGATACGGGACAGACTTGAATGAGGAAAAG